ACCAAGAAGAGACCGACGCTGTGAACCCACAGCACAGTTCACATATGCAGTGGTGGTTGGAGTCGAGTAACTGGATCCAACTATCGGGCAAATTAGGGCTCAGACTCCACACACCAAATCACCAATGCATATGCAATAACCAGACAAGAAATATAAATAAAATAATAAACAATGAAAAAAGGACAATTCCAGTCCCGCCACATTCATTAGCAAGCGAGCAAAAAAGAGTAAGGATAACATGAACCAGAGAGGCCAAGCGGCAGTCAGACATGGAATAAAAGAGGCAGCCCAGTCCAGGACCCGAGTAATTAGAAAGCGAGCGAGAAACCAGCAAAAGAGCAAGCGGCAGTCAGACAGCGAGGCCCAGTCAGGACAGGGCGGATTTAAAGCGAGACCGCAGACATGAAAATGGAGATAAAAAGAACCACCAGCAGACAGGGGTAGGCCCCCGGAACAGGCAAGCAAGATCAGCAAAGAGTATTAAAAGAAAGTAACACCAGCAAAAAAGAGAGCAGACATGAAAGTGGACAAGGGGATCCAGGAGAATAATGACACGAGTTCTTTATATTTTACAGGCACGCATTTGGCATCAGTAAGAATCTCTTATGTTAGTGCAATATTGTCCCGGGGTTACATACGTCTGTGGACAAGTAGGCTATACGTCTAACAGTCCGACCCTGAACTCTATTCTAGTATTGAACCACTAAGTTCAAATTACATAACCTGTGGTTAGTCGATGTAATAAATTGCTCATTCCGATAACCGTCTCTAATGATGTAAAGGTCGATATTCTCCCGTTTTTTTTTTCAACTAGTAAATTCCCGAAGCATCATGCAGAAAAAAAAGCCATACCGGCGACAGCACAAAGCGCAACATTTTATTTTTTGAATCCGCTTTCGCGTGGCGATCGTCGGATAATGGGAAAGAGACGCCACCCATGCAACATAATAATAGTCTTATTAGAACAATAAACACTCGTTGTTCATTAAATTTAAAGTGAGTAAACTCGCGATATTTCGATCACTTTTGGGTTTTCTCCGACTTGCGGCCGGCGAGACCTCCTCAAAAGTTTTTGCGGTCCTTCAACCTAGCAACCTTGAACAACCCTGAGGTAGACAACAAGGTACCGGTAAAATTCCAAACTACAGTTGTGACTTGTGTATCCTTTGGTATTGGTATTTCGATTCACGTTGACACTGGAGGCATGAATCTTTATTGCCACACTCCCTCGGGATTAGTGATTCATTGTTTTTATGATTAAATTACACATGAGGGGGCACCAAAGGGGCCTAATCCGCCCCTGCATCTGGAATATGTAGGCCAACTTATTCCATACAAGATATGGACTGTTACCAGACGAGAGGCGGTATTACCCCATATGATTAAGTCGTCTTATCTACTTTCCTCTCCTCTGAAATTATCTGCACCAGCGGATAATGCATACGTGAACCTCTATCTCTGGATACTGTTGCAAACGACTTCCAAAATAGCATAAGCAAATGAAACAATAAAAAAGCGTGACACATTTCAAAAATCCCTCGGAAGAATGCGGTTTAGCAATACATAGCAGGTATTGCAGGGCCAGATCATGTCTTTCGGGTGTCGTAAACACTTGAGACTTCGATGCCCTATATACAGTGCTTAATTAACCATTAACCAAAATAAGAACCTACTTTGGGCACCATCGAATTTTCTATACACAACCTGCAATAGAATCCCAAGGAATGCATTTATAATATAATGGAAAACTGCTTGACCATAGTCTTTAAATTGATTAGACCAGTATTTAATCAGAATCGGGCCTCAGTGTATGATCAGAATGAATAGAAATGTACATCGCACACGCACGACGCAAGTTACTGCGTTTCATATTTAGTGCCTGCGGTAGCATGTCACGGGCAAATGAACCACAAATGTAAAACGGGATATCATGGAATATTTACACATTCAATTCTTAAATTAAAGCAGCGCAACACAATAGTCCCAGACGAACGGTATTTATAGAGGCATGATACCTGCTTCGGATAAACTCCGTATGTTTGATGTAATTTTTTCGAGGTTATTGGCCTCGTCGTGGGCTGTCCGGCGTGACGTTGTAAATTAAGTTAGATTCTGATACAATCGCCCTCGTCAGTAGCATTGGCTCAGGGGAAACGTAGGGACATGGTCAAACATCAGGCGAAGTAAGACAGTAGGTTCGAGCCCCGCAAGCTAGACTGAGTTGTAGGGATGGGCCAGCAGACAAGGCAGGCGGTCGAGATAGGAAAGGGATTCGGTGAGCAAGCGAGGATAACAGCCAAGGAGCGCAGAGATTGAAAGGCGGGCAGCCAAAACATGCGTCGCCATCCATGGAGGAAAGTGAGCCCAAGATCGAGCCAGTACAACAGCCAACAAACAAGTTAACAACGGAGATAAATGAACACCAGGGAGAGGTGCCAGCTGAGCTTCAAGGACAGTAGACAAGACAAGAGGCGATCAAGCCAAAACAGCAGTCCTAAAGGAAATTTTTTTACACCCCGAGAGGCGAAACCGACAAGCAAAATAGAACAGCAACCAAAAAGAGCAGAAAAAAGGCCAGTTACCATTTAAGGGAAAATATGAACCAGAGAGGCAACAGGTAAAACAACGGGGAGATAAATTAGCAGCAGAAAAAGGTGTCAGTTGAGCTGCAGTGATAGCAGACAAGACAAAAAGCGGTCAAGCCAGAACAGCAGCTCCAAAGGAAATTTCATAGACCCCGAGAGGCGAGGCCGACAAGCGAAATAGAGTAGCAACCAAGGAGAGCAGAAAGAAAGGCCAGTCGCCATGAAAGTGAAAATATGAACCAGAGAGGTAAACAGAGCTCAAGGTCAAGCCAGCGGGCAGTCCCAAAAACCAACCGTCAGAAAAAAAATCAGAGCGGATAGACCTTATTAAATAGTGTAAAATCCACTCTTAAAGCAGATAAAATAAGAGCGATAAAATACGATGCTTACTCTGGGACAGCCAAAACCAAGAAGAGACCGACGCTGTGAACCCACAGCACAGTTCACATATGCAGTGGTGGTTGGAGTCGAGTAACTGGATCCAACTATCGGGCAAATTAGGGCTCAGACTCCACACACCAAATCACCAATGCATATGCAATAACCAGACAAGAAATATAAATAAAATAATAAACAATGAAAAAAGGACAATTCCAGTCCCGCCACATTCATTAGCAAGCGAGCAAAAAAGAGCAAGGATAACATGAACCAGAGAGGCCAAGCGGCAGTCAGACATGGAATAAAAGAGGCAGCCCAGTCCAGGAACCGAGTAATTAGAAAGCGAGCGAGAAACCAGCAAAAGAGCAAGCGGCAGTCAGACAGCGAGGCCCAGTCAGGACAGGGCGGATTTAAAGCGAGACCGCAGACATGAAAATGGAGATAAAAAGAACCACCAGCAGACAGGGGTAGGCCCCCGGAACAGGCAAGCAAGATCAGCAAAGAGTATTAAAAGAAAGTAACACCAGCAAAAAAGAGAGCAGACATGAAAGTGGACAAGGGGATCCAGGAGAATAATGACACGAGTTCTTTATATTTTACAGGCACGCATTTGGCATCAGTAAGAATCTCTTATGTTAGTGCAATATTGTCCCGGGGTTACATACGTCTGTGGACAAGTAGGCTATACGTCTAACAGTCCGACCCTGAACTCTATTCTAGTATTGAACCACTAAGTTCAAATTACATAACCTGTGGTTAGTCGATGTAATAAATTGCTCATTCCGATAACCGTCTCTAATGATGTAAAGGTCGATATTCTCCCGTTTTTTTTTTTCAACTAGTAAATTCCCGAAGCATCATGCAGAAAAAAAAGCCATACCGGCGACAGCACAAAGCGCAACATTTTATTTTTTGAATCCGCTTTCGCGTGGCGATCGTCGGATAATGGGAAAGAGACGCCACCCATGCAACATAATAATAGTCTTATTAGAACAATAAACACTCGTTGTTCATTAAATTTAAAGTGAGTAAACTCGCGATATTTCGATCACTTTTGGGTTTTCTCCGACTTGCGGCCGGCGAGACCTCCTCAAAAGTTTTTGCGGTCCTTCAACCTAGCAACCTTGAACAACCCTGAGGTAGACAACAAGGTACCGGTAAAATTCCAAACTACAGTTGTGACTTGTGTATCCTTTGGTATTGGTATTTCGATTCACGTTGACACTGGAGGCATGAATCTTTATTGCCACACTCCCTCGGGATTAGTGATTCATTGTTTTTATGATTAAATTACACATGAGGGGGCACCAAAGGGGCCTAATCCGCCCCTGCATCTGGAATATGTAGGCCAACTTATTCCATACAAGATATGGACTGTTACCAGACGAGAGGCGGTATTACCCCATATGATTAAGTCGTCTTATCTACTTTCCTCTCCTCTGAAATTATCTGCACCAGCGGATAATGCATACGTGAACCTCTATCTCTGGATACTGTTGCAAACGACTTCCAAAATAGCATAAGCAAATGAAACAATAAAAAAGCGAAAATCTAACTCCGCTGTCATACCTTTTTAGTCCTGTCCTTCGAAGGCTTGTTTTTGCGAGAAACTTTTTTACTTGAAGTTTCTTCTGTTTGCGGAATATCGCTTCCGACTTTTGCTTTCTTTTTCAATTTCATTATTTTTACCCCATGATCATAAGAGTTTTAAATCCAGCGCCTCTTATACAATAATGTATTTTAGACTGGCGTGAATATTTAGGCGATTTTAATTAATTAAATTATTAATATTATTACGTCACAGTGCATTTTATCAGGTGATATTAACGCCGAGTAATGGCATTTGTTAAATCTTCCGGCGTTCTGGGCTCTTTTGGAAGAAGTACACTACATCGAAGATCCTATTACCCAGCTCGGATAGCGTTGTAAACCATATTTGTTTGTTTTTGCACTCTCTTACTGGTGAAACAACAGAACTCCATCGAATCCACAAAACCGTTTCCCTGATCATAAATAAAAGTTGTACAAACGTGGTCATACGGACGGTACACATGTATTGGCCCAGATTTACCAACAAACTTTGAGAATAGAACAAAAAATAAATAATCTTGAACATGGGTCTGCACTGTTATTCACGTATGATCCATATTCAATGTACTTGAATATTTTGAATAACTGAAAAAAAACACAGCTCATAAAGAAAAATTCCTGAATTCGCTTATCGTTTGTCCAATACATATTAATCTTGGAGAAATTATTGAGGACGTTAGGTGCTCATTTCCTTTAAAAATTCCACCGCTTCAAGTTAGCAAAAATCATACACAAACAATTGAAGAGAGGATGTCATGTCTGATCAAATACTCTTCTTTGATGACGAAGATCAGAATAATTATGTGACTGAAAGACCATAGCATGAAGAATGTAGGAAGGATCCACAGCTGAAAACAGAACTGAATTTAGGTATTGAACTTTGAATAAAGTAAAATGGTGTCCAAACTTTTAATACCGCAGATTTAACAGACAACAAACAAACAGAAAATGCAATTGACACAAACAAACACTGCAAGAGCAGGATAATTGAGAAGGCATTATTTTTTACATATACTGCCCCAAAGTAAAATACCAAATCCTCGTTAAGAAGCTATGAGAAATGACGAGAGACAAACAACTTGGGTAAGCTCACTGTTATCATTTGCAGTCAGATGAAGGATTATTTGTCATTACAATCCTTGACGATGTTGAAGAAATGGCTATGTTAGACACTCTGCTATGTTAACCAATCAAGCAATTATCCTAATTGCTCATACTTGCTACAGGATTTGAGCTTGTTCATATGATTATAGGATAAGCTCAAACATAACATAGCAAATGAACAGTTTTTAAACAATATGAAAAGTAGTAAATACATACCATTACTTGCGAATATACTTGTATGGCGAAGCCAATTTTTGAGCCAATATCTGTTTGCTTCTGTACTTAAATTTGCGCTATCGAGGCCTCTAAGAAAAGTGGCCTGGAAGGATAGAAAACAAAATCAAACAATAGCAATATCACTGCGCAGTGATCTTACAAGAATCACTCCTATTCTAATTCCTCAAGTAGAATGAAAGAATACTCGTCAGCAGAACGGCATTACTGTGCTAATATAATTTATGAGTCTTCCTTCACTACTTGGTTCAAAATATGATTGACCAATTAAAATTTGAATAACCTGGAAAAGCTTAATCATATAGGATTTCGTAGTAAATTCCCATTGTTCCTTCCTTCAAAATAGATAATATAATTTTCACGAATGATAGAGAAAAAGAAACCCAAATATCTACATTCAAGAGTGGATTAACTATGACTTACGAATAGTGGTACATACCTCTTGCAGTTCATCATCTGATAAATCATAAACGAGGTTTTCTCTTCTTAATTTTTCATCGAATTCAAGAATTAACTTCACTCGATGATGTAGATAATATCTCAACCAAGGTGATGGGAAATATTTCCATAGAAAGTTTATATGGCAAAATGAATGCTGTGAAAATTTCATAACATTAACTTAGTTGCTGTATAATCAGAGTAGCAAAAGGGGAAGTTTCCTTCTTAATTGCTTATGGAGCAAAAATGTAATCGGGTACCCTGACCATAGAACAATGATTTATAAATCCTGCAATATCCCGAATGTGCAACACAGATTTTTATTTATGATATAGTTATTGTAAAAATTTATGAAATCGTTTTTTTTTTATAAAACTACAATAAAGCATCTCTTGTGAAGTCTAGTTTTCTGCAAAAGTTTATGAATAGGATTTTGTTTTACGAGCCTAGCGACAATAAAAGCATCTCTTGTGAAGATAATTTAGCCAAACATATGAAACAACATCTGTGTAGACTTTAACATTATCCAAACAATATCTTCATCGAAAGCTACTTTTTATTAATATCAACAACGAACCAGGAGTACTGGCGGCAAGCCATCCAAACTTAGTGGATTTTCTATACTAGAACACCATTCTCGAAACTTCCTCAGATCATCATTGGTTGGGACCTTGGTTGAATCATTCACCTGAAAAATTTGTTTTAAAAGGCATTGTATGGCCACATAAAAAAAATGTAGTAGAAAACTTTTCTTTGAAAACATCTATTAATTGAACATATATGAAATAATTAAAGCAGTAGGTATTACTGAACTGTTCAAAATTTTTATAGAGACGCGCTGCTATAAATAACAATTCGTGAATCTCAGTTTTGACGGACAACTCAAACGACATTAATGTGATGGATGTGGTTGCTTTTCACTGCACAATTTATCAATTCTCGAAGCAATTTGTGACAAGCAAACTCGTCGGTTCGACATGGCACGGGTTGACCTGTATTTTGTCATCAAGTTGGTAATATTTGAAAATGCTGCCTCACACATGTAGGTCATTGCAAAAAGCAATAAAATTTCAACAGTTTTTTCTGACAGCAATGGATATTCCTCCGCAACGCTCGACCAAAAAAATAAAGATTGATCAAATTCTTTTTATAGGACCCCAGTTTGGGAAACCCTGATATGCATAATCACAATAATACTCTTGTTCATCAATACAAACCAGTGTCAATAGATCTGTTAAAGCTCTCTGAAATGCTGCGCTAGGATGATTATCTTTAATGAAGTTCAGATGATGTAGTACGATTCCATGGTGAATTTTTCTATTCATATGCATATCAGTGAAAAAAATTTTCCGCTGCTTTTTACTCCAGTAACAATGTGGTAAAAGATGTTGAGGAAATAGGGCGCTGAAAATTTGTAAATACAATGTATGTATGAAGATGTGAAGAACATTCAACTTTTCCAAATAGAGTCGCAGGACATAGCCTACTATACGATATATATTAAATTAATTTAGCCGATATGAATTATGGAATTCATTCAAAACTTAGGTGTCCTATGTGAATATGTTATTAATACTTTATAAATAATTTTTCATTTCTAGTGTTTACTGTGGAATGGATGAGAACTTGTTACAAGAAGTCAGTTGTAATAAAAAGTTTTCACTTGTAAAAGAATTTTTTTTATCTTTTCTGTAAAAGTTGCCTTTCGACAAAAAAAATGATCACTTAAGTGCCAAATATCAAAATGTTGGTTTAATAATATTTCATGTTAAAATTTAATCATACCCATTTTTCAAATATGTTGCTGCTACAAAAGTTAATTCTTGAAACTATCCTCTTATATTATATATCCTACATATAGAATACCTTTGAGTTCGACAATACCATGCTAGACAAAAGTGCACGAAGATATGACTTAAATCGTTTACTTCTAGTATAATAATATTTTCAAGTTCAACAGCAATTACAAGGATTAAACTTACACAGGAATAAAAACAATAACGATTCCCATTGGCAGTAGAAATAAAGGCAATAGAAATGATGTTTTCAGAAGACTGCCTTTGACCTGTTCAGGAAAAAAGACAGTGTAAGATCATATAAATAAAAATAAATGATGTACGAACTTGCTTTGATTTAGGGATACGGTTTTTCAAACAAACAGGAAATTGTGATGAAATACTATGAGTTTTAATTAACTTACATCAAACACAGCTTTATGTTCCTGATATGTTGTTTTGTAATTCGGCTGAAGTTTTCTTTTCTTGGAAACCGACCTCCCTGTTTTGAAATCAGAAACTTGTCTATTGAAACCTAGAGTAAAAATGTTATTTCTGGACTTATCATTGAATATTCAATTTAACATTCAATATGATGGATGAAGAAATTCATGGTTGACCAACTGTTACAATGGAAATGAGTACAGCAGTCAACTTTGACATAAAAAACTGACAAGACACAAACAACTTCTTATGTATTATGCTATAAGTTATTTATGCTATAAGTTAAATATGCTATCAAGTACCCAGGCTGATCATACAATATGCCTTATATGGAAAGGTCCAATAGGTACTCTGGGGACAATAGGCTGGAGCAAATTGGAGGCAGGAGTTTGGCTTGTCAAAATTTCCATGCTTTTCAGCTTGCATGTCAGAAGTTAACTGAGAATATGAAATTATTTGAAACTATTTTGTAGTATTTCTTCGTTGACACAAAAAATTCAACCTTGACGAGTTATTCTAGTTGCTGCAAAGATATATTAAAAAAGGCCCTTTAGTGAGTAGGCCCAAATTTGACAGTTCATTATGTATTTTCATTTAGGATGGCAGGTATGCAAAGTACCACAATAGGTAGCCTAATATTGAAAACAGATAAATCTGGCATTACAACATAGTCAGGACACGCGGACATGGAGTTTTAATTTCAAAGTTTAATATTTCAAATCGTAAGTATGAGAGTTGATGTAGTCATAGTATTAAAGCAACGACCAACCTCTTGAAACCAATGGTATTTGTGTCAAAAAATAAAAAAAATTATGTGTTCATACAATAATATGCTGATGTTAGTTGTCTAGTCTAGTTCTCTAATGCGAATTGACTTGATGTTAGTACAATATCTTATTACTAAAATAATGTCGACTTACCAGCTTACCTTTCAACATTTGTTCATAATAGTTTTTCAGAAATGGCCATCGTTTTAGACTTGTCAAAACCAGTTTATTAAACTTTTCAGAAATGGTCTTTTTGGGATTTCTTTGGGGCGAATTTTTCCATGATCCATGCGTATTCTTGTTCACAAAAGATTGCCCATTTGAAAATCGTCTGCACCCAGTACTCTGGTGGCTACCATTAGTAGTTGCCGCAACAAAATACAATCCGTGAACATGAGTCTGGGGCACCAACTGAGACCTCAAAACTCTCAACATATTTTTAAGATGACACTTACACAAAACTAGTATTACGCTTTCATAGGAACTGTAAACTACCAAAACAAGCACATTGAGGAAGAAACATCGACAGAAACTTATGCTGATTTGTAGCAAACTACTGACAAACAAGCCCAAAAGCACTCTGAACCAACGACCAGACGACCGTTTTCAGCAATGCAGTTTTCGAGAATGAGATATCTCGACCAAGTTCCAATTTGTAAAATGACATTTTTGAAAACTTTACAGCAAAAATGTGGTTTAAGAACTTTAAAGTATAACTTGATATTTCCACCTCGCTAGTACGGTACCGGTAGTGAACAAGTTCATGTTAGCAACGATACCCGGTATACCAATATCTGAATATGGTACCGGTACGGTACCGTACATTTGAAGGCTGACGGACAACTCGACTACACGGACAACTCACCAGAGACAACTCGACTACCTAGAGGCCTGGTGAGTTGTCCGTCTTTTGGCATTTTCTACGGCGGTGTTTTAGGTCTATAGAAATGCGTTTTTGATATTTTTAGTGCTCAAATGTTGAGAAAAATATATAAACATGCTCTAGAAAGCATTTTTATTTGTATAAGTGGCTTATTTTGATCATGTTGTATGAATACAAATACAGTCTACAGACGAAATTGGAGTAACGTTAGCGAAGTTAGACTGTTGACTTATAGGACTGTGTTCATTTAATTTTTTGAACGTTATTAGTTTTAAATGTTTTGAATGGGCACCTTTAAATATATAAAAACCTTTATACTTCACAGTAACACTTAAATATTTATGAATGTGAGCTCAGTAGTCTATGGTTGCAGTAGTCTAAACTCGCCTACGGCAGTCGCCCGACAGGCCGTCAACTCACCAGTCGAGCAAACGCTCTGCGACGTGACGTCATCGATGCTCGAGGTGAAGACAACTCGACTACCGAGCAACGAGAGGCAGACAACTCACCAGTCGAGCAATCGCTCTGCAATATCGATGCTCGAGGAGAAGACATTGCTTTGCAAAACGCAGACTCAAGAGTTGCATAGCATTTACTTAGTGCCGACTGATATTAGTTGTAAGCCAACTCACCACCTGAGTAGTCTACCAGCCGACGGCTAGGTTCCATCTGCTGAGATACAACAATGGACCTTTCCCCGACCTTTGACCCCAGAAAAATTCTTCCTATACTTTACCATTGCAAAATTTTTGGGGATATTTTAAGAGTGCTTTTGCGAGTTGGCGCCTGTAAAATGGGGTATGTGTTTCAAACCATCATTATGATTCACCGCATACAGCAATCTGATTTTTAAAAGTACCGGTAAAGAATTTTAGATTTATATTTAAGTTTCCGGAACACGACTGAAAACGAACGAATAGAGTTTAAAAAACGAGGTAATGTTTACGACCACGCTTGAAAATATGTCACGAAGTAAACAAGGAAGTCGATGCTCGGGGAAAGGTCCATCGGGCTGGAGTCATGGGCCTGGTAGCAGTCCAGGCACTTCCACTCAAACGCTACGTCCTGTTTTTTTTTTTAATAGCCTGTACTGTTCCCTTGTCATTGCCACATCTGAATTATTAAAACATTTGCAATGAAACCAATTTCGACAGACGTCACAGATGAGTCCCTCCTGCTTCATGGAAACGATGTCGTCACATCTCTTGCACATATTTGGAGTAGTCATCTTGAATTTTTGCGTAGTTTTTGTGGAGTTAATATACCGTTAGTCGTCCTCGTTTCAGTATAAAACTGTGATGAAAACGACCTCGGCTAATGAGTATTTACGTTTGTAAGGTCTCAGACCGGCGATAATGAGGCTTTAAACTCGGCGATAACCGAGCAGTAATGTCGGCGCGCGGCTTCATTATCACCAATCTGGCACCTTATCTATCTCCGTTCATGGATATTACTTCACTCAGGCCATCATGAAGAATGTGCGCCACAATAATTTGGCTCGCCTATACAACAAGTGAGTGGTTAACCATATTTATGTCTTTGTACATCTTTCACTTCTTTTGTATTAACATGTTTTTATTTTGTTTTAGGGACGCTGGTACAAGAGACCTGATCAAGCATGTCATGGCGCTGTGCTATATACCAGCTATGTTTATGACGTCCAGACTCAAATGAATGAAAGGAAAGATGCAAACTCAAGAACTTCGCCGAATATTTTCAAAACACATGGCTACACAACATGCAGTGTCTGGACTCCCAATGATTGGTCAGTATTCGACGTAGAAATAAGAACCAACAATCATCTGAAAGGTTGGCAGCGCCATTTTAACAGTATAACTCGGAAAAATATGCCTTTTTAAAGTTTAATCTCAACAATGTACTAGGTAAGTATAGGGATAGGGGCGGACGTTGTGGAGATATTGGAAGAGAATGTCGTGGGGCGTGTCAACGCAGGTATGCGGAAGCCAAAGAGAGGGTGCAACGTGTCTGGGAACAGTTTAAGGAAGGGGAGTTATCTGTGGACTCTCTTCGAGAGGCACTGCCTCTCGTCGAGTTGTCTTCACCTCGAGCATCGATGACGTCACGTCGCAGAGCGTTTGCTCGACTGGTGAGTTGACGGCCTGTCGGGCGAGTTTAGACTACTGCAACCATAGACATAGACTACCTACTGAGCTTACATTCATGAATATTTAAGTGTTACTGTGAAGTATAAAGATTTTAATATATTTGAAGGTTCTCATTCAAAACATTTGATACTAATAAAGTTCAAAAAATTAAACGAACACAGTCCTATAAGTCAACAGTCTAACTTCGCTACCGGTACCGTAACGTTACTCCAATTTCGTCTGTAGACTGTATTTGTATTCATACAACATGATCAAAATAAGCCACTTATACAAATAAAAATGCTTTCTAGAGCATATTTATGTATTTTTCTCAACATTTGAGCACTATAAATATCAAAAACGCATTTCTATAGACCCAAAACACCACCGTAGAAAATGCCAAAAGACGGACAACTCACCAGGCCTCTAGGTAGTCGAGTTGTCTCTGGTGAGTTGTCCGTGTAGTCGAGTTGTCCGCCTCCCCATTTGAACCCACGTACCGGTACCGGTACCGCACCGGTACATTTAAACTCACGACAATTGCACCTGCATACTATTGCACATATGGAATTTTTTTTTGTTTTGCGGATATTTGAACCCATGGGTTTTAGCACCAGCATATAGATTGAACCCGCAGATATACCGTACCTAGCCTACGCATGGGTTCAAATGCACGGTCACCTTCGGCTTCATCAGGCTTTCATTCTTCAAGAGTTGTACTCTTGCTTGAAACCATATACGCGAATGATGATGTTTCCATAATGATGCTATGGACCTTTCCCCGACATTTGACCCTCGAAAAATTCTTCCTATTAGGCCGCGAGCCGAAGCCATTTATCTTTCAGTTTCGTAGCGCACATAAGGTAACCTGAAAATGATTTTAAAATGTTCCTTAGAAATTTAGTAACAAATATTGCCTTGTTCCCACTTCCAAAAGTTGCACCTTTTACAGAAAAGATGCTTTTACTACAATAAATATGTGTTAACATTCGTCCTATTTTCTCTGCTTTTCCGGTATCATGTGCAGACTTCTGCATGACGTAACAACCAAATTAGTCAGCTGTAAGTGGATCCCCCGTGGTCGTATGAATATCAGATGTACTACTGCTCGCTTTTGCGTTGAGTAGCCTTTCCATAGTTTTTTTTCAGTTATTATTAGGTCAGTTATTCTAAGGAGGTGTTGAAAAGTATAAGTAAGATATTAAACACTTGTATATCCTTACCATGAATAGCAATTTTAGTTGAGCACTAGCTCATAAGACGTTGTTAAATAGGTACGGTGCGGTAACTCCAAGGAAGGCTAGACCTAGAATAATATGTCACAAACAACGATATTTTCTGGCTTGCATGAAATGTTTATGATAAATTTAATGACTCTTCTTGACTATTCAGCAGACTTATACTACTATATAGGCCACAGCATATTTGGAAATAGAAATTAATGGCTGTTTCTTTAATGCACGGTTGTGTGAAAGAGAAGAAAATAATCAATTTTGGTAATGTCGGTTGGTCTAAATCTAAATTCATTAAGTCGACAAGAACCTGGAAAGCAATGATAAGTTATGCCGGAGTGGAAAGAAAAATAGCATTGGAAACGATTGAGAGGGGAGAAATCAAGTTGTAGACAGACAGTTGATGTTTTAAAATATAGTCTATAGTCCATAGTCCATACTCATACTGTCATAGGGCATTTCAGACTGTGATATATCAAAATTTCGTGTAGCTATAGTCTAGTAATGGTATGCAAACACTGCTGGACTGTAGTACATGCAATGAGCATATATACGCTCATTGAGTACATCAGATAAAATGCATTATGTATTCAAGGTATTAGTTAGTATTACTATTTAGTGGTATTTTTACACTCATGCTGTTCCAAATATGATTTTCTTCCTCATTTTAGATACTGTACTACAAAAGAAAACGGCAATGTTCCACCAATCCGACCTAACGCAGGCTCTGATCCCTACTGCTATCAGTGTTATAAAATGGATTAAACAAGAAGTCTTGAAGCGTAAAGGTATATGAGAATCATAATAGTTGCAAACAGCTTAGATGGGCTATTCATATTGAAATACTTTAGCACTTTTCTGCAGTTGGAACTGCCCATCAAACTCATGTTGGAGACTTCATTGAGGTTTTCAATTCATTTTTTTCTCAACTATGAAGATCTTTTGAGGTTAACGAGGCATTAATAAATAAAGCTGAGGAATTTGTTTGTTCACTGTATGAAGAAGATATGAAGAATGTAAATGATACCTGGGCACGTCTATTTAACACTGGCAAACATAAGGATTATACTCAACCACCCAACAATGATTCACTGGAGACGCATGTGGCCCTCAAATCAGTTCTTGAGTTGGCAAACTGCAAGTGTAAGAAAAGTAGTCAAAATAATTTATGCAAGTGTGCCAAAATCAACTTAAATTGCACAGATATTTGTTTTTGTATTGACTGCAAAATCACAGCACACTTTTAAAGGAAAAGTCGATTTTCGAGATAGTGGATTTCGAAAACAAATCAGAAGAAAGTGAATTAGATATTGCAGTTGATTTAATAAGTATCATTTATTTTATTGGACACGTAGTGGACATAACGATAGTTTCAATATTATGTTGTTCTTGTTGGACACGTAGTGGACATAACGATCGTTTCAATATTATGTTGTTGTTGTTCTTGTTCTTTGACACGTTTTTAAA